CGAACTGGACCGAACCGGGAGGAACCCACCACTGCCCCACCCCCATCTATTCTCTGCCTCCCAAGTCCCAGCTGATCGGGAGGAAATGGGGATTTTGCAGTATCCTTCCTCTGGATTGGGGAGGGAATGGAGATTTTACAGTATCCTTCCCCTGGAGTGGGGTGGGAATGAAGATTTTACAGTATCCTTCCCCTGCCACACCCACCAAGCCATGCCAAGTCCACCAAGCCACACCCACAGAACTGGTAGTAAAAAAATTTGAAACCCACCACTGGGCAGGGGTCTTCAACCTTGTCCACTTTAAGCAAAGCTGGCTGGGGAAGCTGGCTGGGGAATCCTGGGAGTTGTAGTCCACCAGGCTTAAAGTGGCCAAGGTTGGAGACCCCTGGTTTAGGGTGCTTCTATAAACAATTAGAATAGAAAAGGCCAAGGCAGACTTTTTTTTTTTTTTTAAAGACATCCTTCTCTTTCTGTGTATGATTGGAAGAATATGTTTTCCTTTCCAAAGGGGAAAAAAGTAACAAGGACACCATTTCAACTTTCTTCTGTATGCAGTTTTACAGCCAGTAATGAATATATGTTCAAATGCCAGCATATCCTGCATTTTTTAAAAAAGGACATAGCCTTCTAAAATGGTTTCATCTAATAAGTGCAGCATGAGGAAAATGGTACTCAGGCTATAGAAACAATAATGTATTGCTCTATCTAACCACAACCACGGAAGTACCTGCTAAGACTGCAGTGAAGAAAAAAGGCAACTGAATGGCAGCGAACAGCCATTTATAATCTTCCAGAAAACACTCATCAACTATTAAGTGGCTCACCGTGAGGAAAAGTTACAGAGAATATTTTCAGCATTAAAGACAAAGCAATTATGACTCCAAAGAACACCCAGTTTACCACTTCTTAAGAGATGCTAAATCAGAATGGTTGGTGTTTTTTTTAGTACAAAGGAGATGTTTTAATCATAAATTTCATATTTGTTCATACTATTATTTTTACCTTTAGACAGATAAAAGTGGTTCTGAAGCCACAGTAAAGGCTTTAATTCTGTCATCCTCAACTTTTCACATATTAATCATGGCTTCAAGTTGAAAGTCAAGCCCCAAAGCTCACATCGATAGAGCAGGACACTGTCAAAGTAAGCAAGCTGGTTATTGGGCAATGCATCTATCTGATTTGGGGCAACTGAAATGAGTAGTTTTTGTGAGGCCATGAAGTTTTTTTATTTGTCATGAAAAATCTGAAAATTCATTAGCGGCAGATTTTTCATCCTCGTTTAATTAAATAGGCACCAGTTTCCTCCTGTATTTCTTAACACAAAAACATATCAAATTCAGCACCTCCCCAGAGTCATCCACTCTTTTGTTATTAAATGATCTTAAGTATGAAATTGTACATAAACTACCTTAAGTGGGACTAGAAAATATCGCTATATTTTGTTGGGACATCAGCTTCTCTAGCTTCTGGATTTCGAAGGCTTTATCCTAATAGCATATGAAGCTTTAGTTAACTGTGATTTTTTTTTTTCAATCCAGTTTTCCAGTTTTAGCATGAATCACTGAAACTTTAGCTAGCTACCTTGGTTGGGTTTAAACATGTAAGAGTAAAGTATGGTTAGCTAGTTATGAATCGGCATGCCATGTAAGCATGTTTTTCAGATATTAGATCTTTAATTTAAAAAAAAACACTGAGATAGCGATCCCTTAAAATGTTTAAGATTTCAATCGCTGGGCTATGACTAATTTAAAGCATGAATGCCCTTGATGAAAACCACTATCATAACAAAGATTACTGTACATACTTGTGGATAAACCAAGGATTTTAGGTGCCAAAAATTGGATTTGGCTAATCCACAGATGGGTTTGTCCGCAGAGATATACGGTAGATTTTTCCCTCAGCTTTTTAAAAAGTATTCACAAACTTTTTGACCTAAATACCATAAAAATGTGCCGTGCACTGATAAACCAATTGCAAACATTAAAACAGGACAAAAAAATTCAAGGGTTGACTTCCGTGAGTATATACAGTATTACTTTTTGAAAATAGCAACGCTATTTACAGAGGATGGGATCATGACATCACAACTGAGACTTAATAAATGTTACATGTTTTTGAACTGTATCAGTTTTTTTTCCTGACTTTAGGAATTGGCACACATAGTTATAGATATGTACTAAATAAAATAATAATAATAACGATAATAATAATAATAATATTCTAAGAAGCTGCGGTCTCCTTAGAAGTCTTCTAAGAAATCAGGAACGATCTCCTGCGGCAATTCTGTCCTGTTTTTTCATCGTCTATCTGGCTGCAGCCCTGTTAAGTCCAAATCGCACTTGTAAAAGTTTGTATTTTCAATGCTACTCTAAGTTTATACTATGGTATGTAACATGAGCCCCAACGTGTGAACTGTAGTGAGTAATCTACACAAACTGAAAACACTTGGAATGTGACCCTTTCGAGCTTTCTCTGATGCAGTTTTGTTTGTATTTCCAACCCTGCTGAAGCAATGGGCCAAATAATGCTGGAACCACACATATTCTATATGTAATTTGAATCCCCATCTTATGGATACAAAATGTGTTGTAACATTATTGAAATGCAAAGCAACAACAGATTGTAGGTTTATCTGCCATGGAGAAGACCATAATCAGGACTTCTTTTGCTCTGTGGGATATCCCATTTAAATAAGTCGAATCAAAGTATTATTAACTAGGTTGTTTGTGAAGCACATCCTATTCCTACAAGCCTCAAATTATCTTTTGGAATTCTGGGTGAAATATTTATTTTTCTTCTCATTAATGCTAGTTTTTGCAAATATTTGTCAGTTTGTATTTTGCCTTTTCTGTAATATGAAGCTAATGTTTAACGTGTTCAAAGATAGAAGGAAGAATCAAAGAATCAAACCAGAGGTGGTTTTCAGCAGGTTCTGACCAGTTCTGGAGAACCGGTAGCGAAAATTTTGAGTAGTTTGGAGAACCGGTAAATACCACCTCTAACTGGCTCCACCCCCATCTATTCTCTGCCTCCCGAGTCCCAGCTGATCGGGAGAAAATGGGGATTTTGCAGTATCCTTCCCCTGAAGTGAGGAGGGAATGGAGATTTTACAGTATCCTTCACCTGGAGTGGGGTGGGAATGGAGATTTTACAGTATCCTTTCCCTGCCACGTCCACAGAACCAGTAGTAAAAAAAATTGAATCCCACCACTGGTCCAAACACATACTACTTGCAGATGCTTAGACATAAAAGCCCAGCTAAGAGAGAACAATCTGAAGTGCAGAATTGGTAAGGACAGAAAGCACTAAGTACTGTTATTTTCTCCATAACAGTTGCGATGTTCCTTGAAATGCTAAGCATTTCAAGCAGCATTTAAGCACTTAGTAGAAAACAATTTTGTAATACTGTGTAGCAAAATCAATTCCATATATTAATGGCAAAAATTCATAATTACAAACAAGCCAATTGAGACGGCTATAGCCACACTAGCTGCACTGTTCCTTTATCTTCCTCCACCACTTTTTAAGTGTGCAGAAACTAGAACTTCCACTTACCTGAATATCCAAATTTATTTATTTATTAATTAATTTATTAATTTTATTTCTATACCACCCTTCTCCCGAAGGACTCAGGGCAGTGTACAGCCTGATTAAAAGCACAAAGACAGACAAAATTTAAAAATAATTAAGATAAGTAGTTTCTTCTGTAAATCTGATACTTCAAGGAAGTCATCTTCAAAATACATTAGATTAATATTCTGATTTAGGTGTGATGTGAGTTTTTGTTATTGTTTTAAGCATAACTATTAATCCTCTCTTGTGATGCTACCAACAGCTTGGTCTTCAGCAACAGCTGGTTTCTACAGATGTTTAGCCAATCCTCCATACCTTTACTTAAAAGTAAGTCATATCGAGATAACTAAATGAGGTGGCTCTTAAACTAAAGTGCACAGTTCTAAATTCAACCAATGTAAATAGGATTGTGTTTAGAAGACAATTTTCATAGTAGAACTACTTGGAACTGTGGCTTATGCTTGGTTGCTCTTTCTTACATACACTCTCTCCCCTATTACGGGCCGCCAACACCACCAAGATTTGCTATTTTGCATGACATTATCCAGAATTATGGTTACCATTTCCAGCATTATAAAATGTGCCTAATGCTAGGAAGTACCATCATTGCTGTTCCAAGTGGCCATCGTAAGCCTGATGAATCAGGTATAGACCAGAAGTGTGTGTGTGGGGGGGGCAAGCAAATTATTAACCAAGGTCACTTCTCTAATCTTAGTCCTTTTCAATAATTTAGTGCACATCAGGTGGTCAAAGTACTTCTCAAATGTTATCTCAGCAATGCTTGCAATTGCCCAGTAGTCCATATTTTCCTTTGGTGGCCAAGGATAAGATGACAACTGAGGTATCCTCATGAGCTGGAGTTGGGTGACTGCCAAATAACTAGTTCTATATAGCAAAGAAATATACAAACAACTTTGGGAGTTCAGACAGAAATGTTAGGAGATACTTAAACATCTTAATGAGATGGGAAGGGGGGTTTTATACAGAGATATTAACTTGCACAAAATATTTAAAAGGTGATGTACTATATATAATCTGCAACCTATCTGTAATATCAATATAAAAAGTTGCAGTGGCCAAAAAGGCAACTAAATGAATAAAAAGTGAACTATGGCTCTCCCTCAAATAAAACTTGCATTCTTATTGTTCTAGTGTTATATTAGGATGGCTTAGTATATCATTGTCTATGAAGATTCTCAGTCATCCATGTCATGGTTGTCCCAAAGGTGCTTTTTCAAGAGGCAACTGGACTTTCTGGTTTTTCTTCAAAGACATTTCTTCAAAGTTTCAGAAGCTTCTTGGATGAGAAGTGAAACATCTTCAAAGGAAAACCAGAAAGCCTAGTTGCCGCTTGAAAAAGCACCTTCAGAATTAATGTATCATTGTAATCAGCGGTCATGAATATTTGCACACTGTAAAATGAACTTTTAATAATGCTTTTAATAATCTACATAAAAAAGACAAATGACTGCTTTTTTGTTATTAAAAAAAGCTTTTTAATGAATACCCAGTCCTCACTCTCTCCAAAGTCCCCAAATCTTTCTGAACTTAATAATGTCAAAGTGCTTTTTTTAAAAAAAAAAAAAAAAGTCCAACCACCAGAAGAGATCCTGTGTCTTTGTCTTGATGCGCTCATCTCACATCCAGCAATGTTGATGGTTTTGCGTAAGCAAATTACTTCTTGATGGGCATATGCAAAATTCAGGAAAAGAGAAATTTAAAACCAGCATGACCTGGATTTACCGCAAGTAAAGGAATCACTCTCTTCCCTTCCTGGAATTTTATTTTGCATTAGGAAGGTACATAGCGCACCGACACCATACAGGGAAGGACTATTTAAAAAAAACAAACAAACAAACAACGTAGCTCGTACTTGTGAACGTCTCCATTTGAACGCATATTTAGACTGGCACTTAAAAGATGCCTGTACTACCATCAGGCATCTCAAATGTAAAAAGGCTGGCGGTGTTTCACAGGCAGAGGCAGAATCCGACTTTGCTACAAAGGAGCTTCTCTCAGGAGTGCAACTTCGCAAAAACGGGGGAGGGGAGGATCAAGGAAGACCCTCCAGTCCCCCTCCCTTTCCCTTCTTTGCTATTTCCACCGCCCCTCCCTAAATTATCTCCCCACAGAAAGCGGGGCTTCGGCAGAAGATCTTTGGCCACGCCGACGGCGCGGCTCCTTCGATTTTGGCGGCAACCCACCAGCTGCGGGGCGCTGAGGAAAAGGCGGGGAAGGGTCTCTTCAGCTGCCTCTGGTCCAGGGATCCGGCTCCGCGGGGCCTCTGCCCGTCCCGGCGGCCAGGCTGGTGACGGGCAGGACCAGAGGTTGCTGGGGCCGCATGGATTCCTCGTAAGTGGGCAAATATTTCACCTCTTCGTAGCTAGGCAGCTGCAAAAAGACGGGCGAGACGACGTGGAGAAGAGGGGGCGGCAGGGACGCCTCCCGGCCCCGGCTGTCCAGCAGCGAGTCCTGCGAGGTGGCGGCCGTCCCGTTCAGCGGGGTGACGCGGGAAAAGGAGTCCCGGTCTTCCGCGTCGTCATCGTCGTAATCCTCCTCTTCCTCCTCCTCTTCTTCCTCGTCGTCCTCCTCGCCTCGTTGTCCCGGGCGCCGGCGTCGCCTCCCGTGCCTGCGGGGGCTGGGGCAGATGATCCGCTGCAAAAAATACCCGATGGCGAAGAGCACCAACAAGATGAGCAGCCCGGAGAGCTTCCGCACGAACCAACCCACGTTGTCCAGGAACGTGTGGAAAGGCAGCTTGCAGCATTTGGTCTCCGCGTAGGTGGCGTTGCCGTAGCTGCAGCAGCTCTCCTGCGCGCCGCATTTCTGGGCGCCGCAGCTGCCTTGGCAAGGCTGCCACAGCAAAACGGCGCCCAGCGCCAGCAGCCCCGGGGGGAGCCTGCCGCCCGTCATCTCCCCCCTCCTCAGGGAAGAGGAGGAGGAGGAGGGCTGCTGGGCTCGCTCCGGCCCGCCACCATGGCCCGCCGCCTCCGCGCTCGCTTCCCCTCCGGCTTTCTTTGCAAACTCGCTTTTCCCGGGCGCGCAAGTCCCAAGCCCGGGAACAGCAGCGGGTGGGGTGCCTTCTTGGCAGCTGCACAAGGAACCCCCCCCGTCTCCTCCCGCGCGCGCCTCGCCTCGCCTTTCAGGCGGATTCCTCACTCCCTCAGCCGAGATCTCGGACGCGGCGAGGCTGAGCGGGTCTTGCTGGCGAAGGCGGGCGGCAAGGCGGGAAACGCGGACATGTTGCACGCGTGTGGTGTCTGCGCAGCCGGCCAAAGGGTTAACGGGGCCGATCCTCTCGGCCTTTTCGCAGCGCTTTAATCTTTATTAATACAGCTGTCGTCTTCTCTCGTCAACGCTGGCTCCCCTTCGCTCGGCTGGAGTGCCTCTGCTTAAGTGATTGGATTTCCCTCAGAGCGTTATTTAAATTTACTTGCTCCCGAAGCTGCCTTTCCATATTTCTGATTAAAAATTGATGATCGTCATTTGGCTGATGCTAATAGGCTTAATGCAACTCTTTTTCCATTAGAAAGGTTGTGTTTCTCTGCAAACCCCCCCCCCCCTTTCTGGCTGCTTGTCTTTGCTTGCCAAAGTGACTTTTCTTTCCTAGAGAATGTGAAGGACCCACCTTCACATCCACCATGGAAAAACAAATAAGCCAGAAAGAGATTCCGTGAACGAAGTTTGGAAATCCAGCAGATGGAAAAAAGGCAAGACAGCTTTTCCCAACCTCATATCTCCAGATCTAGCTCTAGATCAGGGGCGTCAAACTCGATTTCATTGAGAGCAGCATCAGGGTTGTGTTTGACCTCGGGGCTGGGGTAGGCATGGCCAGGGTGGCCAGCTCAACATCACTCGTGTTGGGGGCACCTATGGCGGCCTGAGTGCTCTTTCAGCAAAAACAGGGTCCCAAGCTCCATTTTTGCTGGCAAAGGAACTGCGGGCCAATCCTTCGCTATTTCGGGGGGGGGGCTTGCTTGCCACATCTAAACACCTCGCTCACTGGATTTGGCCCCCAGGCCCTGTCTAGATGTTGAGTTAAGGAGCTAGTTGGAGATAACAAAAGAGTAGGTGATGATCTCACAACAGGACAACTTGAATAAAGTTAACTGAATCACAGTTCATTGAATTAGCTGGATTTGCAGAAAATGCTGAGCCGCCAACAAGCCCATCACATTTCTACTTGCCGTAACTGAATTCACCAGGGTTCATACAGCATCAAAAACTGAAGTGTTTTTGGGTTCACACACTTAACAAATTTGATGATCCCAGATAATTGTGGCTGATTGATCAACATGGAGTTAAACAAAGCACATTTTGATGTTTGATTATCCAAACTTTGTAACATGATGTTACCTAGTTTGGGTAATGAAATGTTTGCAAGAGATCAACCAATCTCAAGAGACCACCAAGGATTCTTCATTTCAACCCTGAGCTACAAATATTCTCCACTGTTAGAAAGCACATTTTACTGTGCAAACTTGATGGACAAAGACTGGGAGAATCTTGCAAACTTATTGGAAGAAGATTGGGAAGGAGTAATGAGGTAACAGTAATGAAAGTAATTTATTACTACAGTAATGAAAAAAAATTAAGCATTATTTCTAGTTATGACTTGGAGTCTAAAGCTTTTACAGATCCCGGGATAGGGAAAACTCTTCTGGGCTCATCATATCGTTTTATTAGGATAAAGTCTATTTAGAGAAGTAATATAATTTGATGGAAATTGGAAAAAAAAAAAGGAGCATTGTATGATTTGCAGTAGGATAGGGCTCATGAAGGTGATTAAAACCTAAGGGTTTTTTTCCCCCTAACAACAATGGCCCGTCTTTTCATGTGAAAATCAATCTCCAGGAAGTTACAAATTAAAAGCCTGATTTAAAGTAAGAGCGTACAAAGGGGGCTGAAAAAAGCAAAGGTATAGGACAACCAACTTTCAAATGTTTGCTTTCTTTGTTAACTTGCTTAGGCCTTACAGTTATTTCTTAGCAAAACATGATGGTAAAACAATAATAAATGCAACATATTCTAAAAATGCTTGGTTTTCTGCCTTATTTTCTACCTAAATCTCCCTCTCCTGCATAGTACTAATTTAAAAGGCACTTGCGGCCAAAACGGATGTAAAGTGATATTTTTAAGAAAAATCAGTTTTTGCCAGTTGTTTGTTTGCATCACGGGCAAAAGTGAAATTGAAATAAGCCCAAATGTATGGCAGTTCCAAAAGACTGAACAGAAATAAGATAGTGTTATTTTAAAGAAAGCTTTTCTTTAATCAATGCACAAACCCAGTTACTAGCAATGGAGACAAGCTAGATGACTTGTAGGCCATTCAGAGCAGCTCTTATTCGCTTGCTTTCTGGAACCTATTTGCAAAACTCCCTGTTAGTCCCATGGTCTCCCTGTCAGTCAATGCTACTCATTTTCTGGGCCTTCTCTACGGATTTGTCTTTCCTCAGCATTGGGAAATCTTGCTAACTATGTTGAGGACAAATCTCCACAACAAGGTCTTCCTCTCGGTGGCAGTGATAATTTTCTGTTGAAAACGCAATGCAGTTTCCTATGCAGACGTTCTGATCCACAAGGAAGAACCTGATTGAAGGAGCCTGAGTGGCGTAGGAGGCTAATGCCTCCTAAGGCAGCATTTAACATCCAGCTGCCTGCAATTACTGTGAGTTCAATTCTCCCCAGGCTCAAGGTCGACACAGCCTTCCATCCTTTCTAAGGTGGGTAAATTGAGGACCCAGTTTGTGGGGGCAATTAGCTGACTTTGTATAAATATACAAAAGTATGAAGGCTATTGCTTAATGCATTGTAAGCCGCCCTGAGTCTCCGGAGAAGGGCGGCATATAAATCAAATTAAAAAAAAAAAATGTTGGTTATCTACATAGCTCCATTTGGCCTACTGCAGGGTTGTTTCCGTCCATCTGGCCACAAGGCTCTGTGCTTTCAGGTCAATTTTGCTTTGGCTCTCGCAGGGAACAGGAAGTCTCTAGCAACCAAGTCATATTTTCTTTCTTTTGAGGCTCAAGTAGGAATAGTAAATTCTGGAAAATCTTCCAGTTGGTTGCTATTCCTACCTGTAACCTCCACTACTTGGCATCCCTCTTCTCTTGGCATCTTTTCTGCAGAAAAGGAAGAAAATGGTAAGTTGAAAGAAAAAGAGGCAGGGTCCTTTGTTCTTCCTGGTTCTTTACAGCTACTCCAAGCTCTCATCAAAGCCATCTCAATTGCTTTGAGGGCACAAAATTTGGTGATCTGTTTTGGAAGCGTTAGCAAGACATGAGGGTGGGTAGCAGAAGTGGTAGTCAGCAGGTTCTGACCAGTTCTGGAGAAGGTAGCGGAAATTTTGAGTAGTTTGGAGAACCAGTAAATACCACCTCTGACTGGCCCCGTCCAGTGGTGGGTTCCTCCCGGTTCCACCTGGTTCCGCTGAGCCGGTAGCGGTGATGATATGTCACCAAACCGGTTCTACCCCCCCGCCTCCACACACCCCGCGTTATTCTTACCTTTTATTTGGCCCCACCCCCAATCTATTGCTGCCTCCTGAGTCCCAGCTGATCGGCTAGAAGGAAAAAAACTGTTTAAACTCTTGCTGCGGGGCTTCAAAGGGCCGCTCTACAGCTGGTCAGTGTTAAAAGTCAGTGTGGTGGTAGACCGGTGCCTCCAAAAAACAAATGAGTAGACCGGTGCCTGCAAAAATAAATGGGTAGACCAGTGCCTCCAAAAACAAATGAGTAGACTGGTGCCTCCAAAAACAAATGAGTAGATTGGTGCCTCCAAAAACAAATGAGTAGACCAGTACAGCTCTGTAAGCAGTTAAAAGCCTGGTAGACCAGTACCTCTGCTAAATCCTAAATACTTGTCACATGACCATCAAGCCACGCCCACAAAATAAGCCACGTCCACAGAACCAGTAGTAAAACATTTTAGAACTCACTCCTGGCTCCATCCCCATCTATTCTATGCCTCTCGAGTCCCAGCTGATCAAGAGGAAATGGGGATTTTGCAGTAACCTTCCCTTGGAGTGGGGAGGGAATGGAAATTTTACAGTATCCTACCCCTGCCACACCCACCAAGCCAGGCCACGCCCATCAGGCCACACCTACAGAACTGGTAGTAAAAAAATTTGAATCCCAGCACTGGTGGGTAGGCAGTGGTTTCATAAAGTGATAATGAAAACACATCATTGGGCTTGGGAGGAAAAGATCTCTGAAAACTGCAAAAAAAGCATTTTGATATTTTAGATTAGATTAGAATTCATTTATGTTTGCCTATCTGCTAAATTGAAAGAAACAAGGGATATTGTATTCCAAAACATCTGGGGCCAGGTTACCTGTATCTGTAGGGAAAGTGTTTGCTAATGTCTGTAATAGGTTTTTTTTTTGAAGTTTTTTTATTTTATAGACAAACATACAATACAATACATAATCAATCATACAGTGTATCATGAGTACATTTGTTTCTTCTTCTTACTCCTCCAATCTTTATCATATCTTGACATTATCATTTCATTTATTGTAACATTTCTCCCCCATTTAATATATTTATCTATCATATATATATATATATATATTCTCAGGTTTTCGCGGGTGTTTGTATGTAGGTCTTTGGTTATTCGGGTCTTCTCCCACGTAAAATTGGAAGTGTCTTGGCGATGTTTCGACGAAGTCTCATTCGTCATCTTCAGGCTGGTGTTCTCGGCTTCGTGCTTCCAGGAGCAATGTGAGATCGCAGCTGTCTCTTCCTTTTAACTGCTAGTGGGTTGGACAGATGCCAAAAAAGATGTGATGTGACAAGCATTACTGCATGCAAACAGTGCTTCTGGTAAAGATAAAAGGACTTCAGCATTAAGGGAGTTGGAAATTCAGAAAGCAGCCACCTAGTAGCTTCTACTCTAAATTGGTTGAGCCAGACAGATGGAAGGTTTTGTACAAACATGCAAAGATATGCTCAAAAACAGAACCTGTTATGTGAGAACAATGTACACGCACAGAATTAGGATTGTATCTTATCCTGATTCAATAAGTGCAGATGGGTTTGATTCCTAATTTAAGGCACTTCTGAATCTGCATATATTCCTCAGAAAGACTACGCTATCTTTCCAAGAGTAAAGAGCATAATAATCACCAAGTTTTCCTTCATTGTTAATTTTCTGCAGATTTTTAAAAACGTTATCTTGCCTTTATTACTGTATATGTAAATCAAGGCAGAAGCAAACATAAATATTCCTTCTCCCTTCTCCCCAACAAGAACCCTGTGAGGGTGATGGGTTTGGGTTGAGAGAGACTGGCCTAAAATCATCCAGCCAGCTCTCATGGCTAAAATGGTACTAAAACTCACAATCTCCTAGTTTCTAACCTGTTGTTTTAACCACTAGACCAACCTAGCTCTCTAGATTGCTCAATTACATTGCTCAAGAACCTTATATTATTAGAA